GGTTTTTGCTCCTCCACCTGCTAGTAATAATTAATAAAATTAGACATATTTTAAACTCCATTGAAGAAATAATAAGAAGAAATAGAAGATGACATATTATTTCTCCATCTTACTTTTTAAAAGCGACAATAAAAAATCATTTGGACATACCCACAGTAAGTATAAATGACCAAATAGTTTACATCTTACCTTTATTTCTTCTTGTTTTTCAAATGGTGATTTCTCCTCGACTTTGGGTGAGGTGACCTTGTTGGTGGTGGGGCGCGGCTTGTCGTTGATCTCCTCCTCTTTGGGCATTTTCTTGGCAATGTCGACTGTCGCGTCTTTGGCCAGCTCCACCGGCGCCGGCGTTATCGTCATTGTAGCAGAGGACTTAAGACATGGCTGAGGCTGCAAAAAATTTGTAGATGTCAATTAGATTTTTATATTTCTAAAAAATATTTATTAAATTCAGTAAACTACACTATATTCTACATGTATGTTCTATAATTAATTTTGTTCGTGTGTTTAGGTGACAACTACAGTGAAAATATTAAGATAGTAGGCACCTGGTCAGTGGTTAGGTCCTCGTCTGCAGGCGGTGAGTCCAACGATCCTTCCTCGGGCAGCGCGGCCGGCAGCTGCGTCACGCTCGCGCAGCTGTTGTACAATTAACATAATAAAGACTGCATTTATACCACATCAACTGTTGAGATATTAATACTTTGCAATTCTATTTAAGTCAATTTTATAAATAAAACTTAGTACTAATATTTCACTTTACGTATAATTCAGGATCACATATTTTTAATAGTTGAATGTTGATTAAAATAATGAACGCTGTTGTTCAAACTTGTGACATGTCTTTTGATGTTTACCTAGCGACCTTCTCCTTCTTCCTGTGCAGTCCGCTGGCAGACATGGCCAGCTCCAGCTTGCGCTTGTTGTCGCTCGCAGACACGATCGTGCGCGTCGGTGACGGCTTTATCGCGTCCTCACCTCCCTCTGCACAAAATCATAATAATATAATTTGTTATTGAATACTGTCGAATCTCGTGTCCGTTCCCGAAGAGTGACCTCTATAAGAGATTGGACTCTCGCTTATGCAGGTTCGACTGTATTCAATTAAAATTAGCTAAAACTCTTGTTTTCGTAGTTTTTCAAAATCAAATTTACAAAAAGTGAGTACTAACATTTTAACGATTTGTTATTAGTAACTTACCGGCGACTAGTTCTAGTATTCTCTTCTCGGCAGAATTGCTGGGCTCCACCGGGATAGATGTGGAGCTGGTAAGATCGGTGCAACTCTCCTCGGGACCGAGCTCAGCCTGTAGAATACAAGTAACTCTTATGATAAGATTTAGTCGCAATAGCAAAACAACCGCTGCCCATAGAAATCAGCAATTGCAGATGCGTTGCGTACCTTTAATCGACGAAGGAGGACACACAGAAAGAGAAAATTTTCTGCAATCGATTCTCTTTATGTGGTTTTTTAAGTGAAAAATACATTAAGTTTTTTTTGGGCATACAAATTTAGTACTGTTCAAAATTACTTGGTCCAATACTAAATTGACGAAATTGTCAATTTATTAGTGACATATGTGTGGGGGGCGGTATGTTACCTGAGTAGGCACGACGACGGAGTTGGTGTGCGAGGCGGCGGCGGGCGCGAGGGAGAGCAGCAGGTCCAGCCGCACCGGCGTCTCCGCGGCCAGCGCCTGCGCCAGATCCAGGCACGAGGACGGACAGCCGGCGTTCACCCAGCTACACATACATACTCTCACATATTGTATACATATAGTCATAACTGGAGTGATCCATACTCTGCTTTCATGTTAAATCGCGCTACACGAGATGTTGTGGAAAACGTAGCCCTTAATACTACTATAATTAATAAAAGGTGTGTTTGTTTGTGGGTCGTTGTGTTTCATACAATAGGACAAATTTATCAGTAGAAGGAATTACAAGATTTAAAAAAAAACTCACGGATGATCACAAATGTATGCAATATCGGCGCGCTTTAGCGGATCTACTGTGAGCATGTCGCGTATAAGCGGAGACGCGGCTGAAACAAACCAACACATTAACTTATTTGTCTATATAATGCCAGAGAATTAAATATGATTAATAAATAACGAGTTAATGTAGTACATACTGGATGGGTTCTTAGGTTCGTAGTAATCTCCGTTGCTGATCTGTCGCACGAGGCGCTTGAAATTAGAGCCATCGAAGGGCATGGCGCCGTACACGAGCGTGTACAGCAGTACGCCCAGCGACCAGCAGTCAACCTACGGTAATTAATTTCATGATACAACTAATCTATAGTGAGTAGTCTGAAAAGTCAATCAATAGAGCTAATAGAACAATTATTTAAGAAATTATAATTATTTTAAAATCCAAACTCAACTCTGAATGTTCTTACATTCCTCGTACATAGAAAATATCTTCGTATTAATTATGCAGTCAGTCATATGCTTTTAAGTTCTAATAATACAGCCGGTAGACATTGCTATAATAAGACCTAAAATTCCACGACGGCTGTTGAAGCTATATTCGTCAGTACCCCTTCATATGTCTACCATTTCTAAAAAACAACCTCATTTCAACTGAGTTATGCAAATCTTACTTATATTATAAATGCGAATGTTTAGATGGATGTATGTTTCAAGGTATCTTCGGAAAGGCTGAATGGATCTTGATAAAATTTGGCATACATATAGAACATAGTCTGGAGGAACACCTAAGCTACTAATCATGTTTATTTCATTCCGCGCAGACGGAGTCGCGGGCGACAGTTAGTATCCTATACATAAAGACGAAATTAAACAAATTGGTAAATGTTATTAAATATCTTTAATTTACATAATATTATTTATATTACTGATGAATTTAGTCTATATTAAATGTAGATAGAGTTATTTACCTCTGGGCCGATATATGGTGTTCCTTTAACGATCTCGGGCGAGGCGTAAAGCGGCGAACCGCAAAATGTAGACAATAAAGAGGTCTCTTTGAACACGTTCGACAGACCAAAGTCCGCAATCTGTGGAATAAAGCACCTATTAATTTTTCCCTTTAAGTTTTATATAAAAATAAAACGCCGTCAAACTGTACCTTGGCTGTGATAATAGTTTTGTTATACATTTAACATGATAAAGACACTAAGGAGTTGTTTAAATACCAACTGTATGTCTCTGAGTGCGGCAGTATAAAATTAAATCGATAACTTTAATAATGAAGCAGTAATTGATCAGGTCACAATAACCCATTTAAAGGCCAAGTTCATCTTTACCTGCATTATAAACATTCTAAGCCTACAAAATAATATGACCATTCAATCCCTAACAGTATTTCTTCTACATCTTAATTGTTTACTACCTTCTTAGCAATTCTTAATAGCGTCACTTAAAAAATATACATGTTAACAAACATAAAACTACAAACCTTAGCACTACCAGTGTCGTCCAGTAAGACATTTTCTAATTTTAAATCTCTGTGGCAAATCTTATGTATGTGACAGTAGTAAACAGCTGTAGCGATCTGTCGGAACAACCTAAAAACATGGGATATTTACACATACCAGTTGATATATCGAGGACATAATACGTCCTTTAGAACAACAAATTATACAATCCTCAAAACAGATGATTAATCATTATATTCATGGAATTGATATTAAAATAATTTTCAATCTTGATACAACACAATCTTTAAGATCGACAATAAAAGATTGTGTGGGTGTTTTCACGCTCACAGTCATGTTCAAAGTTTAATTGATTTATTGCTTGATATATGTCTTTGAAACAATAATTTAATATTAAAAAAATCTACACGTTTCTTCCATATACACCAGATGTTGAACGAGTAATTGATCCTTACCTTCTTGCTTCCTCCTCTTCTAATACTTTCTTTTGGCTGAGGTAGTCGTATAGCTCTCCGCCGGAACAGTACTCCATAACGAGAATCATTTTCTCACTGTTTTCAAACACTGAAAGTTAAAATCGTTTTTAAAAAAAAACATCTTCTTATTGTGTAACTGACTGTAAAAGTAAACATTGGTATCAATAAGAAAATAATGGTTACCTTCATATATATGCACGATATTGGGATGCCTGACTGAGGACATGATCTGCACCTCTCGTCGGATGCGCACCAGATCCGCCTCCGACTCTATTTTGCATTTCTTTATAGTCTTGATGGCGACCTCCTGACCGGTTTTCTTATTTATACCCAGCTGCACTTTACCGTATGTGCCTTGTCCTAATTTTCTAACTATATCGAATCTAAAACAAGAAGCAACGATTTTTTTTTACTTTACTTATGTATAAATTTATGTAAATTTAGCTGATAGTTGTTACATATCTCTTTTTTTTCAATAGATTTTATTTGCTTAGCGTAGTTTAGCTGTGTTAAATTACAAACAGATTCTTCAAGTAAGTAAGTAAGTAGTAAGTTTCAAAAACGGCAAATATGAAATTGACAAGATAATTTCCATCTAGCATTCTAATAAGGAAAAAATTAACAAGGAGAAAATTATAAGTTGACGGATATGAACGATATGCAATACGTTTATACAAGACAGTTGGTAATTAAACACCGTTGTCTCGCACGTAGCCGGGATTAACGAGCGTTGAACACGCGAGCCAGTAGCCGGTGGCGTTTATGTGATAATTTGGTGTCAATACTGCATACTACGGTAGCATCCAACAATCAACAATATAAACACGCCCGCGTGTGACCGCGCATTTACGTTATGCCCATGTTTATTATTTAATTATCAGGTCGATGTTAAAAAGAACATTTAAAATAATATTCATAAATATCATATCGGTAATAGACTAATATTTTCTCACAAAAAGCTATTGCTGCTACTTATTCTGGTCGATTGTATAGAGGCTGGATCGTCAATTAGATTATTCACCTTTACTCAGTTAACTCCTGACATCTTATCAGTCTTAACAAATAACTCTTTCCGTTTATGTCAAAATTAATATCATCGTGATCATTTGTCTATGTATTACATTTAAATACTTACATACTACGAATAGTCGTTGGTTACTACGTATTTGGCAGCGTTGCATTCTCTTAAAGCATTGAAAGATCTGATAGAATTATATAATACTTCAAGATGCGCCTAACTGGTTATAGGAAATGCTATGCTAAACCTAACAAATAAACACCACGATCGTGTTATCTGCCAAAAAATATTACTACGTAACATTTCATGTCAGTTTATCTATACTAAATAACTTTTGTCTTTGTAAAATGATTCAAAACAGTCGACATACGCCGTACTCGTTTCCGATTCTAAGCAGACTTTCTTATTTCTTTGTTTTTGCAGAAATAAAAACTGTGAAATATAATTTTGAAACTAATTGCAATTGGCAGTGGACACTTGATTATCGGAATCTATCTCTATCTGCTCTTTCTGTTTTTTTGTACAAAAAAATAATTGCAAGATGAAAAATGTTTCCAATAAAAACTGCAGTGTTTAAAATCTTTTTTTTTGTAGTTAATACTAGTGTTCTCTAAACCTACGCTCGGTATTTACATTCTAGTAACAGAAAGCTCGCACAAGACGGCCGTGTGACGTCACCGATAACCTTTACGCCAGTGGGCTTCCAAGGTGCCCAATCTATATAATTCTAAGACTCAAATTTGACCATGACTATATTGCTCTGCGTTAGGAGATTTAGTGTTGGTCAAGTTTGTAATTATTACATATTGTACTTAGTGATGACGAAAATATCATCAAAAGATTTATAAAAATAAGAATGCCTTAAACACCTAGCAATAATTTTCACAAGTAAATGACCAGTACCTGAATGTAACGTATCTCTTTGAATTTAATGGTATATAGCATTGAAGAAATTACTTACCTCTGTTTGAGACGCAGTCTGTGGTCATGAAGCCGAACGTCGCCGGTATTCTCTATGCCGTCCATGATGTTGGTCGGCTGGGTACGCTTCGCTTCTCCGACCACCATTTTGGCTGGGAACAAAAATCTTCTTTAGAACATTAACGTCCATAATTATGGAAAACGAAAGACAACATGTGCATCTTATAAATATCGTATGACACGGTTCACTTCCATTTTTCGAAACTACTATGTCCATAATTTTCCATTACGTAGAATTTTACAAAGTGATCTAAGTTTGGGAGAATTTTACAGTGAATATTGACAAACCTAGGCTTTATGAACCATCATGTATCGATTTGAACATAAGAAAGGTAACTATATAGATTTGTAATGTATTAATCAATTAGATTAGTGTTCGCATAATATTAGGGCGCAGCAAGCCGCACTGTCCGCCTGCCGCCTGCCACCCGCCACACGCCGTACACGTCAGCTGCGAGATAATTAATTTGCAATGTCTCTTGTTGAATGATAATATAACAAGGTAATGTTACAATGCTTCTGCAATACTTTAGGATTTTGTAGGTAAGTTAACTAAATAATAAAGATAAGAAGTAGAACACAACTACCCTATTGATATTGTTTTCACTTCATTGTTTACGTACCATGTAAATCATCTAAACAATCGCTTTAAAACAACTTTCGACTTGATTTTTCCATCTTTGTGGAATCTCGTATTTTGAGACAAACAAAATACATGGTTACTCTACCGGTTCGCCAGGCGTCTGGCGCCAAGCACAACTGCTGCTTGACAGTTCCGAGCACGTATACATTGTGTTATGGCTTTCGCATTGCCGAGGCGAGAAAGTGACGCTGCGTCATACTATTGCCAGGGATATTGTGGTATTTGTTACAAATGTAAAGAAACATGAGACAGCTTTTTTACAAAAAACAATTTTTTACTACAATCGATTAGATTTAAAGACACAAGCCAAAACACTAACGAAAAATTAATTATTTTACGGATATCAAAAGATCTGTGCATTTGATATTTCGACCCCTCGGTTCGGTCTATTTCGGTTCTCCTTCATTAAATAATGTTCCTTATTTGTACGTCTTATGATTTAATTTAGCGTACGCTAATTCACCAGAAGTATCATAAAGCCACCTACAGTTTTGTTACATTGACGAAAATATCCGAACACGTAGTGTCTTGCGTACCGCGATCTTACCGATGATGCAAACTCTTCATTTTCAAGAAATAAAAGAGCTCCTGTTACTAGGAATTGATTACTCAGCACAAGTATAAACTTATGAAGAATGAAGGAAAACTAAGCGTATAAATAAAAAGTAAATATGCAATGAAATTCGACTTTTTTTCCTTGTTGCCTAACAGGTGCCATTTGATTTGTATATTACCCAGGAGTATTTTCGAGTAGCGTAGCACTGGTCTTTTTTAATTATTTACTAACTAAACATCCGATTTTCACCTTTACAATAAGTTAAAAAGTGATAAAAAAGTAACTAATGACATGTGTGAGTAGGCGGAAGACATGAATCTGTCGACACCAGCCGCCTGCCGGAGTCACCTACTGAATTCGAAAGCACAGACTAAAGCAACGTGCATAACATTTAACAGACAGGAAAAAAACACTGACATATTGAGTGTTATCAGTTCTTCACTCAATATTTTTTTTTCAATATTTTGGAGGGAAGCTGATCACCGGTACAATTAATAAACCACTATTAGGTAAATATCTGGGAAAATTTAAATGTGTTTTATTAGACACAAATCAATACAAACGTTCTCTTTAAAGTTTTTTTTTTCAATCCTGGCAACATGTAACAGCGTGCAAACATGGTACAATCTTATTGAATTTAACTTGTACTCAAATAAATAGAGTACATTATTCACTAAAGAACAGTCGAGTGATTGCGACCCATTTCAATCCACGCAGTCTCGCCTGACCTAGATAATCAACACTTTACGTACGCACGTCACGAAGTAAGCTAATGTTTTAAGAAATCTCTTCACATTCTATTCAATGACCTAAAAAAAATCAGGTACATCGTAATTTGTATTTACGATGCTTTAAATAAGTTATGTATTTATTAAAAAAGAGAATAGTAAAAAACAGACATCTTTTCTCTAACAGTAGCCAGACTTCTGATATCTATTCTTTTAATTATTTGAATGAATAAATAAGTCTGACTGACTGATCTTTTACGTTGGCATACCTCACATACAAACATTCTACAAACCTACGACATTATTATCCTGTCCGCTTCCGAAAAAGCTCAAGTATATAATAAGACCCGAGCCAAATATAATTTCTAATAACAATTCGAATAGTTTTTACAACAGCTGAAGTTACGTACAATATGAGTGGCGGAGTGACTAGGCAAATTTTTCATAAGTAGCTATTTAGAGAATGATCGGTAGACAGCGGCGCGTGTACGGATGATGAAAGAGATCCGTTAAAAAACTAAGAATACAGTTGCTCCCAACTGACGCGTGACTCACGAAGAGGGCTTCCTAATCGAAAGTAATGTAGAATGTATATATAATGCCAGTAGCTTTTGACACAGCACTTGACTCGGTCTGTTGGAAAAGCACATAGGTTTAAAAACCTTTTATGTCCTCTTCGATCCATAAATGGGCTTAACTAAGCTTAGGGCTGTTCAACATTCTAAGATTTTCGCAACAAGATTTTTAGAAGAAAAATTATTATGTTTGTATGTGTTTGCATTACAATGTTCAAATGTAGGCAGGGTATTGGTTAACTGCAGGAATGCCTGAATAAAATCTTAATCTCGCCTCTTTCGTACTATATACCAAAAAATATAACACAATGTTTTTGTACAGATGTTTCACTAATGAAAACACGTAATTACATCCCTCATGACAGTAGTAATCCCGTACCTTTACACTCAATACGTAAGCAATCGATCTATCACGGTTGCCGTTACAACATCGTTTATTACCAACAAAGAATTATAAGTCAATATAATCTATGGCTTCCATATAAATCTTCGCCGACTATAAAATCAATATTGATTAATATTGTAGAGATATTATGTAAAGGTCTTGTTGCCATTTTATAACCAGACAGAATGTACACAGTAACCTATTTATGATTTGCAAGTTGTCGTTGAAAGTTTCTTTTTTTAAATGATGTGTAATTTTAACAAAATGTTGAAACTGTAACGGTCTGAATAAAAGAATAATATTATTTATTTATACTATTCAATTATTCAGAAATAATTGGCGTAATTAATTGAACACGCCGTTCTAGTTACACCTACGTTGATGAGAACTGGAACGAGCGTAAAGGCAAACCTAATTAAGTTGATAAAACTAATTGGAACGTGGATAAACCTATAAAACAGAATTGGATCGCACAAGATTTGCACCATTTTGAAACTGAATCTTATTTTTGTTTAGATTAAACATTTTAATCACTATTTGGTAATCATTTTTAAAAATACAAGGCCATCAAATAAACATAAAAATATAGGAATACATATTATTGAAAATGTAATAAAAATAAATGTTCCGAAGCGTGAGAACAGCAGTTTCATTCAATTGATTGGTAACGAACGGTAGATGTTCCGTTAATGAATTATAATCGGATTGCAGGTGATTTCTCATTCAGAAAACTCAATTAAAACGTTAAGTCAATTAGGTATATGATTAATTTATCATTAGAAAAACACAAATATAAATAAAAAATTATTAACCAATGGCGCGCATCTTAAACTACTGAGTAGTTTCTTAAACAAAACTTGAAGCAGCCCGTAGTTGTATGATATATTAATTTGAGAAAAATTGTTTTCATAGGCTAAGAAGAACTTCCAACAGTTAAATGTTAGGTACTTGTATAAAACATATTCTCTACAGATCGTAAAATATCATCGTCAGATCGATGGATCGATCTAAGTTTTAACAATATCAATCAATACTTATTTTGGGGTCTCTTTAATACGATAAAAGTTAAAAGCAAAGTTTGTTAATTACGTCACAATTCAATGAAACTTTTAAATAGATCTGCTCCGGTTTGGACTAAAATCAAAGCAACACAAGTACACATGAGCATGCGCCGTCTGATGATTTATACAGCAACTGACATTTTGTGGGCATGCAATATTTAACGTTCGTCACGCGCGGTGCGCACCAAAATATTAAATTAAAAATTATATGTTTTTGATCATAGACAAAAGATTTATTGAGCTATCTAGAAATGAAGTTATCTTACTAATATTATAAATGCAAATGTTTTAATGGAAAGATGGATGTTTGTTTGAAGGTATCCCCAGAACGGCTGCTGAAACTTGGCATAAATGTAGGGCACAGCCTGGAAGAACACATAGGTTTCTAGTTACATAAATCAATAACAATGACGTCAAATGTAAACAATGCACATATTACTTTTTCATATATGGTTCCAGGAGGACAATAAATGACAACTGAATCAACAGTATGCATTATGAAATATTAGACAAAGATCCTTGTATTAAACGAGTAAGAAATTTATGGAATGTAGCCGAGTAAAACAAAGCTACAATAAATAATTGTAAATATGAATTACATGTTATCAGACATATAACTAGTTCAAATACTAACTGTTTGCAAAGAAGTTTAATTCACTTAATGACCTGTTAATTCAGTTACAGAATAGTTTCCACACATAAAAGTTTATAATAACCCGAATATATAGTTATAGGTCTTTATATATATCTAGGTATGTTTCTTTAAAGTTGTAGATACTTCCAGATACAATTAACAGGATGAAATGAAACCGAAGCCGCCCACGCACCTATTGTCTACAAGTAAACATAATTTTATTGTGCTAATATAATTAAATTATATTATGAGTTCAAGGCCTAAACATAAAACAATGAAGCTATAAAATAATATACATGTTCATAATAAATAGGGTTGTGATCATAAATAATTATATTCAATTGTAAATAAGTATAAATTATACAAATTTGAACTTTTAAACGTCAAATTAAATTTATAACGAGGGAATGGTCAAAAGCCTCGAGAGTTTTTTAAATGTTACATTACATAAGTTTTGTTACATGTTAGTTGCCAAGTCAGCGACAAATAACAAATAAAAAGTAAAGCATA